GGGACAATTCAGACCCCTTCTCTCCTAGTTCAGTCTTGACTCCACCAAAACACTTTCTGTAGCTTGGTGGACTCCTAATATGTTTTATTTCAATCACCGTGTAAACATTTTTTTTTTTTAAAGCCCAGCTATAGAAGTGCAAAGCTTATTCATGCCTGCAGGATCTTCAGCTCTCCCTGGCTGCTGGGACAGAAGGACAGGGCCCGGATCCCCACAATCACACAACTGCCACATTTTGTGTGAAGGTGTCAAATCTACAATCCCAGTTAATTAATCGACCTGTGTGAGAATCTATGAAACAAAGTTGCTTTAACTCAAGAGCAGTGTGAAGGGCCCTCTGAGGTCAGGATGCAAGACCAAATAAAATTAACATGCCTGCCACATCCATCATCGGGCAACTGGCTTCCAGTTCTATAATTCCTGAATGTCCTGACTATGCATACCAAGAACATTCCTTTCTGATGCAGATCAAAATGGTTCATGTGTGTGTGGGGGGGGGGGTGGGGAGGAATGTAGTTATGGAGATGGGAGGGCAGGGATAGTAGGGGAAAAACAAAGGAGGAGGCAACAATGCTTGATAAGAAATGTACTCATTACCTTGCTCATGTAATTGTAACCCCTTTGTACGGTATTTTCACAATAAAAAACCTTACTAAAAAATGGTTCATGTACAAAGGGCTCTGACAATTTTCTCCACCCCAAACACCATTATCCACTTCCACAAGTCAGACAGCCTTGGGACTGCAGACATCTGCTCAAAACAAGTGGCAAGGGACCTAGAAATTTTAATGATTCTAACATAAATGTTTCTTCACACACTATAACCATAAAATTTGGTCTGACCTAAGAATAGGGAATGCATTGTTGATTTTCCAGCAATGTGCTGAGTGAGATCACAAAAGGGAACAGGATACTACAACTATCATTACACTGAACTTTGACAATTAGTTCCAGTGATGGATGCTTGAAAGAATGAGCAATAGGAGTGGATGCATCTAAAAGCATAAGATAATATGCACATGATCCTTGGCTTTACTATGGTTGGACATAATGGTCTTTACAAGAGCATGAAAGCATATCTATACAACCATACTGTTTATCACTTTTAGTAAGTATGCAATATACTACTGAGATAGTCAACATTTTGTCATAAAGTCAGCTTTGCATTAAATGATTTTGCCCAGTTATAGGCTAATATAAGTGTTCTGAGCATTTTTAAAATTAGGCAAGGCTAAACTATGGTGTTTGGTAAATTAGGTGTGTTAAATATATTTCTGACTTAAGCTATTTTCAATTATTGATGGGCTAATAGGTACGTAATCACAGTGTAAGCTGAGGTGCATCTGTGTTTTACACTGCCATAGGATTATCTTTCATTTTTATTTCAGAACGTGCTATGCATTTCTCAAGGGAAATATTACTTTTTGTTTAATTCAAGAGAAAAGGTGATTGAGAGACACTGTATGAAGGGACTAAAATCAGACAGCTCATGACTAGGAGAGGCGGAGAGAACACCATACTGCACTCTGATTTTTCTCTGATAGTTGAAACTAGTTTCATGATTTTTCACTAGAAATCTAATTCTCACAAGTACTGTTTTTTACCTTAAGATTATTTTATGCTATAGATATTCTAATTCTCTCAACTACTTTGTATCAAACATTCTTGTCATGTGATTTTTATCACTGGATCTGGGCATTTCAAAACAACATTCTTAGATTCCTGAAGAAATAAGAAGTTGGACAATTAAGGCAATTTATATTCTCAGCATTTTTGCTCCTAATGTCTGAGTGAAAAGTTTTAGTAATGAACTTGAGAAACCTATGTGATTTCTAGTGAAGATCAAAGAAAATATAGAGTGTTCTGCAAATTCAAACATCAAGCTCTGTAGGCTAATAATATCCATACTGAATGTTTAAGAGAGACTCCAAAACATTTTAATATAAAATCATTGCAATTGGCTTCTAAATAAATGATTTTGCAGAGAGTAGGAGAGTAGGAGAAACAGACTATTCATATACTCTCATAATTCATGTGTGAAAGCCAGATCTCTGAGGTGACAGCACTGGGATGTGAGAGGCCTAGGGAGATGATTAGATCATAAGGCTAACTAGACAACCATACAGCTCTCATGAGTGGGATTTTAGCACCCTTGGAAAGAGGCTCTAGAGAGCATCTTTGTCTCTTTGGCAAAGAAAAGATGTTTTTCTATGAGCCAGCACTAGACAATGAATCAGCCCATGCCATTATCTTGAATTACTGAGTCTCCAGATCTGTAAAAAGTTTCTCTGGTTCCTAAGCCACCCAATTGGTAGTATTTTGGTACAGCAGTCCACACAGTTCAAGACTCATTTGAATGGCTAAAAAACTGTGTGCCACAAACCAATTCTGCATGTTATTGTCTTTAATTCCTACAAAGTTTTCCAAGGCATCCTATCTCACCAACTCATGACTGGGGATCAGTGAAGAGCCTTGTGGGAATTATAGACAGTTTTGTGAAAAAGCTGAGATTCACCTTATTCCAGACATCCCAAATTATCTTTCTAATGTGCAAGGAATCTGGGTAATTTTTAACATTCCCATTCCTTCTTAACAGTGAGCCTCATATGTTCATTCTTGTAACAAAAATTATTGCAAAATAAAGAGCACAGAGGGCTGGGAAGGTGGCTCAGTGGTACAGTGCTTGCCTAACATGCATGAGGCCCTGAGTTCGATTCCTCAGTACCACATAAACAAAATGCCACTTCTGGCTTGTTCTGTGATTAACTGGTGATAAGAGCCATCACAGACTTTCCTGCCAGGGGTGAGTTTGAGCTGCGATCTTCAGATCCCAGTCTCTTGAGTCATTGAGGTTACAGGCATGAGCCACTAGCGCCTAGTGGGGAGTAGTTTTTGAGTGGGTACAGGAGAGCCAAAGGACTCATGCCTTGCTGTAATGTGCTTTGAAGTGCATATTGTTTGGTATTGATAGGCAATCATTCATTGATCTTTCATTGATTCCAAATCTCTGTGCAGTGGCTGAGCTGGGTATTGGCTCTCTGAGGTGACTAATGTAAGGAATATGCTTTTTATAACTCAATCCAGAGATAGGACCAGCATTCTGGAAAACAATTAGTACATACAGTGAGAGATGCGCCACAGGTCTCTAGATGTTGCTGTATGAACAAACCCCGGGAACTGACCCTCTAGGGTACTCTTCCCAAGGTAAGTTATTGCTCCTGAGATCTCACAAGAGAAGACCTTCCTGGCAGAGAACAGAAATGCCACCTAGACCGACCATTATTTCCAAAGGCCCGGAGGCCAGAGTGTGCGTGACACACCATCGACAGTGGTGACAGTGTTTTTGGAGAGGTGAGCAGGATTCTGAGTGTGTCAAAAAGTGTGGCATGAATTCTGTATGTTGTAGGTAGCCAAAGGCTTTTAGGTAGAGCATGACAAGGTCCCTGCTAAGATCACTTGCAACAGCCTTGGATGACAGACTAGTGGAAGCCAGCCAAATGTCACAAAGGTCAGCTGTTAGGAAATCTACCTTTGCAACTCAAAGATCTTTGGTGACCCTTTTGTCTATCTATTTTATAAGTGACAAACCAACGTTTAGAAAGCTAAAAGTCTTTCACAAGGCTATCCAACTTGGGAATAAGACGCAGACCCAGGTTCTAAAATAAAGATGTCTGTGGGATACTGCAGAATTCTTTCCACATGCCTAGATTCCCTGCTAGTGGTCTTGAGCTTATTTGCTTGAAAAAAACACCAGAAAGTTTAGGAAACAACAGTAGGTAAAGGCAAAGTGCTGTTTTTACACTGGTTTGGAAATCTTGTTGTCTTATATACCAGAGGACAACAGAAACACAGCTTTGTTATAAAATAAAATGTACATGGATGTGTGTGTGTGTGTGTGTGTACACACACATACACACACACACACACACACAGAGGAAAAGTACATTACTACCCTCTATATCAGCCAGAGACCATTTATACCTACTAAATTCAGAGACATAAACAGCCATTTGTAAACAGCACAGATCAATTCTTTCCTCATTAGGTAGGCAGTAGAGTCACTAGTGACCTTTGCTATTTAAAAAAGAAATCCAATTGGTAAGAAAGTACTGCCTACACTTTTTCACAGGGTTAGTCTCCAGAGATGCTCACCTCAAAGTGACTTGGGATGAGTACCACAGTGTTTCCCGCCCTCCTTTATTTTTTGCCCAGCCTGGGGCTTGAACTCTCGGCCTGGGAGCTGTCCCCGAGCTTCTTTTGCTCAAGGCTAATGCTCTACCAGTTGAGCCACAGTGCCACTTTTGGCTTTTTCAGAGCAGTTTATTGGAGATAAGCGTCTCTCAGACTTTTCTGTCTAAGGTGGCTTTGAACCATGACCCTCAGATCTCAGTCTCCTGAGTAGCTAGGATTATGGCCATGAGCCACCAGCATCTTTAACTGAGACCTTATGCTAACACTCTGCCCCTATAAAATGAGGACAGGGAGGCTGAGTTTGTTCTGTTTCCCAGCAATGAAAGGTTTCTGAGAGAAGCAAAGCTCCCTTAAAGTACCTCCAATAATTTTTCCCTAAAGTGAATGAACTACAGAGCAAATTTATTTTCAGGACAGAATCTTGAGTATTCCCCAGAGGACTCTGAACTTTTCAAATGATTCTGAGATCATGGTATGATGGGAAGGGATCTCCAAGCTGTCACAAGGGCAGAGGATCTTCCCTGAAACATGACCGGAAGAGACTCCAACATGATTAAAGTAAGTATCAGACCTTCAGAACTTCAGCCTACAGAAAAGCATACACCAAACAATTCAAATCAGCAGCACACTATGTCTTCAACTTATTGCAGATGGAAGAAAATCAGACACAGTAATACATTGATGGAGATGGAGTGTGTTATCACACACAGAGCCAGGACGTGTGATACAAGGAGGTGTGTATGGGGGAGTTAATACCATATGTTATTTGACTGCTGTGGGCCTATTTCTCCCAAGTACATGATTCTTACCAGGTACTGAAGTCGCTGGCGTTCAGTTTCAGGGGTGAATTCCGAGGACATGGGGATGATCTCTCCATTCCTGATGATTATGGCCCTGAAAGTAAAAATGTAATCTCATAAGTTCTCTGACATTGTGACAACCATATCTTGATTCAGAACATACACCATGCCAGGAGCTGTGTTTTCTTGCCACCTTCATGACAGAGTTCATAGTTGCCCACTCTGGATGCTATTTTATTTTATGCTATTTTCGGTGCTTATGATTTTAACTAGCTTATGATAACTCCACTTTTCCCTCTAGCTGGAACCATACTACTCAGTATATAACAAATGCTCAGTAAATAAGTGAATAAAGGAATGAATAATGCAAATGATGCTCATTCCATTCCAGGATTGTACAAGAGAACCTTCCACAGTCATGGTAATGTTCTTATCTGTGCAGTCCAATATGGTAGCCATTGGCCACATACAGACACTGAGCATTTGAAATGTGGTTAATACAGCAAGGAACTAACTTACAATGTTATCTAATTAAGTTTCAGCCATCCCACTAGCTAATGTTTAATGATGTACACAGTACTATTGTAGACCTTTGTTACTCAAAGGATCTCTCTCTCTAGACCTTTGTTACTCAAAGGCCAGCAACACTGGCCTCATTTGGGAATTGGGAAGAAATACAGAATCTCGGATTCTATCCAGACTTACTGTACCAAAATCTACATTGTAGTGAGATTTCCCTAGGCAATTCATAAGTACATTAGAATCTGAGGTCATCTGGTGTAGACTGTTAAGTTTCTAGGGCAAATCTTGAGTCCAGGAAAAGCTACTCTTAAGGCTCAGAAAATTCATACACTCTAAAAATATGTGTCAAAGAGCTATTGCTGACTTAAGGACTTTAGAGACAACAAAGTTCCCCAGAGGCATCTCTTGATATCTGAAAGAGGCTGTCAGATTGATAGCCAGGCAACAGTCTTTCCTGGGCCTAGTGGTAGCAGTGACTTCTGCTTTCATATCTTCTAATTCTGAAGTGGTTTCTGATGGCCATTTTCTAGCCATCTATTGATTGGTTACAGCAGAAGGTTGACAAATGGAAATATCTTGGAGAATTGCCATTGCATTTTATAGGAATCTAGCAATTCCCTGGTACCAGGAGCCAGAGATCTGAGATCTGTCACACTTCTCAGCAAGGCTCTACAAACATGGGAAATGCCTTTGATGAGCTCAGCTCTAGGGTATACCTGGCAGATTCTAGACAATGCTCTTTCTTTCTTTCTTTCTTTTTCTTTCTTTCTTTTTGGGTCCAGTCGTAGGGCCTGAACTCTGGGCCTGGGTGCTGTCCCTCAGCTCTTCAGCTCAAGGCTAGCACTCTCCCACTTGAGCCTCAGAGCCACTTCTGACTTTTTTTTCTGCTTATGTGGTGCTGAGGAATCAAACCTAGGGCCTCATGCATGCAAGGCAAGTTCTCTACCACTGAGCCACCTTCCCAGCCCGAGGATGCTGTTTCTTTGTGCTAGAAAACCCTTGGGTGCTCTTCCTTGCCAACAGAAGAGGGAGTTCCTGACTTGGAAACAATTTCTATAAATGGCCACCGCTATTGCCACCTTACTCCCAACTCCTTGCCACCTGTGCCCAGTTGCTGCCATCACAGGAACTGGTAGAGGGATATAGAAAGGGCAGGACATGACAATAAAACTTTATGTGTGGGGGTGTCTTTAAAGAACTTATGACTCCAGAAGACAAATTAATAAGAAATGACCAAAATTAGGGAAAGTGACTTTAGGAGAAAGAGGCCTCTTGCCATAATATTTTGGCCTATATTTCTAGATTTAGCCTTATTCTTGCTGCTTCTTTCATTCTACTTCTCCTTTCCAATGGCCAATTTGGTCCTCTGAGTCAGCTCTAAATGTTCTCCATTGTCCCTCTAGTGACCTTCATTGTCCTTCTCTGCGACCTCCTAGGGTCCCATACCTAGCTATGCCCTTACAAGTCCTGCCTGCAATTGTTGGCTTCCATGGCTCGCTACCAACCCTAAAGAAATTTTCCCAATAGGGCTTACATCATTGTATTTGAGTCTCTAGTGCTCAATGCCTGGCATGTGACAGGCAACAGCTGTTTGCAGAGAGATAAGTACATACATGGCTAAAGAGCGAGCTGGACTTGGGTAGATGAGTATCTAGTCATGAAGGCCATAAGCAAGACTTCTTAGTAGCAGCTTTATTAATTATATATAGTCCAGAACCTCAAAAACCCATATGCTTTCTCATTGGTTTGGCCTCAGAGTATGTCACTGCTGAGAAGGGACAACAAGGAAAAGGACAAATGGGCAGGGCTCTTTTCTTTCGAGCTGAGAGAAGGAGAATACAACAAGGGCAGCAGCCAGCATCACACTTTGTTTCCAAATTTTAAACTCACCTATGAAGTGGTTACATTGAATTCCAATATAACTTTAGGTATAACACTTGATTGTTTTCTTAGATAGAGTGTTTTCTTAGATAGAAAATGATACAAATCTATCTATGTGCAGAGCACTCTTCACTTTTGTTTGAACTACTAAGTTCTTCCTTTTTGAGACACCCATGGATTAAAGATGACAGTGTGGCTGCCAATGTGCCCAGTCCCTACACTCTTCCTATGTGATTCTTGGCTCGCTTTTGATCTTTCTCTCTTTCATCCCTCTGATCTTGGGATCAATTTGTCAGAGTGCCTGTCTCCAATCACGAGTAGGGCAGCAAGAGAAAAAGGGGCTTCAAAGGGAACAGAGAGCATATAAAGAAGGCTGACAAAATCCTACTCAACAACTAATAAACTACAGTAATGCCTTTAGAGCTACATTTTCTCATCAGAGACTTTTGCACTTCATATTTGCATTATTTTACAAGATGCTTTTTCTAAAGAAAATGGAAACTAAAACAAAAGTAGTGGCAGCCCTGAGGGTCAAAGTTACACTGGGGACATGCTCCAACTTGACTTCCAGAGCCTCAGGCCTGAACCTGTAGATGTTACTGTGGTGAGGATTTAGATGGAATTCCATTCACATATCCAAGGTTTAGAGAGAATTTGAATGGCAATAACATATTCAGGGTTTATTCAGAGTTTAGAGTGATTAAATGAAGCAGTTTCTAGGAGCTGGCAACCACCTGACTCTACAATCCCCCAACCTTAACCTTTCATTACAGAGACCACAACTAAAACCACGACTTACATTTTAATTCTCGAATAGTAAATGGGGCATTATTGATAACATGGCAAATTATAAGGCTTAATGTGTCCTTATGAGTCAAGTGGGAAGATGAGAGAATATGAAAGAAAGTATGACTAGTTGTTTAAAATTTTTTTGGGGGTACTAGAGTTTGAATTCAGGACCTTGCTTTTGCAAAGTAGGAGCTCTATCACTTGAGTCACATCGCAAACTCCTTATATGCTTTAGTTTTTTATTTTTATTTTTGGGTAGAATTTCTTGTTTTTGCCCAGGACTGGCCTTAGACCGAGATTCTCCTATCTATTCCTCCCATGTAGGTGAGCTTACAGGCGCATAGTACTGGAATAAGTCACACTTGGCTTAAAGATAATTAGCTGAAATAAATAATTATATCCAAATCTATGTCCGCAAAAAGAACCATTACTTTCAGTTTGGTTTACTGGATGTTTGGACCACTTGGATGCGGGGAACCTGACAGTACTATAATCATGTTTGAATGAGTAACAAGAGAGGCATGGAGGTGGAGAGATGTTTCATTTTCTTTATATGCCTTTGAAGTGTTTGGTTATATTGGGAAATGTGTTTCTATTGTACATTTGAAGAGAAATTTTGGGATCTGACCACATATTCTCTAGAGTCCTCCTGAGCACGAACATGTATTTGAACGTGAAGATGTTCATCTTCACAAATCCAGGTGCCTCAAGGCCTCAGTCTATAAATTCTACCCAGTGAACCAGTCCTGTCTTAGACATTATTACTTGTGTTTCAGCAGAACTAAGAAAGTGAAGAACCAATATAACTGAAAAGCCAGAAGCTAATTTTTGCTGTAAAAATGTGAACTGATTAAGCCCGAAAATGTCTGTACTTTTCTCCATCACTTACATTTTTAGAGGACACCCATAAAAGTAGATTCAGCAGTAGAGCTTAAATTTTTTTTTTAAAAAAGTACTGAAATCACTTCTGAGAGAACTGGGCAATAAAGAGCTCACCAACACATGGTGATGGTCAGCTCTCAGTCATCTCAGCCAGCAGAGGCCTGGGCCTTTACAGCGGTTCTGATGGAACCATTTTTCTTGAGAGCTAAGGACTGATTTTCAGCTATGCCTGTAGGCATTGATAGCATATATCAATGTATGATTTAGTCACTGGCCATAAGGAGGTTTTTAGTCCGTTCAATGAATGCCACTGATACAGGAAAAAAAATCCCATTTTCAGCTAAGTTGTTGTCTTTACTGTCTGTGGTTACTTACTGCCAGATTACACTATTGGGAGTAAGCCTAGTGGGAGATGTCCCTGGGGGGGGGGTAGCAAATGGCCAGTTACAAGAAGGCACCTCTTTTTTTCCAGGGTGAGCAAAACTCAACAGAGTTGTTCTCTGTATCTATAGTCAGTTGACAACAGACAGCAAATATGTGAAAGAAAAAAATATTTGTATTGAACATGTATAGGCTATTTTCTTGTTACTATTCCCTAAACAACATAAGGGTGGGGAGTGTCTGGCCTACAGGCTATATAAGGCCCTCAGAATCACTTGGTACGTGATGCAACAGACGTGTATTCTTCTCATATGCTTTTATTGGCTGCCTGCCACCGTCTGCTGTAAGGATAATTTTGTATGGCCCACAAATGATGTTATAAATATCCAAATGGCCCTTTGCAGAGAAAAGGGTCTCCAGCCCTGCAACTCTGTAACAACGACATGCCACTTCCATTACATTAGGTGTGATAAATAATGCAGTGATAACTTGAATGTACATGGGAGGATGTGTGGAGGTTAAATGCAAATGCTGTGCTATTTCATATATGGGATTTGAGCAGCCTCACATTTGGGTATGCTGGTGGGTGGTGTGCTGGAACCAACCCCTATGGGTACTGAGGGATGAGTTTATTCTGGG